CACAGTGGTGTACGAGAGAGTGCATGTCTCTGTGCGTATACAGATGTGGTCTTGTGTGACACAGTGGTGTACGAGAGAGTGCATGTCTCTGTGCGTATACAGATGTGGTCTTGTGTGTCACAGTGGCATAGGGAGGCTAGAGGAAAACTTGTATGGGTCAGTTTTTTCCTTCCATCATGTGGGGCTTGGAGATCAAACCCGGGTCATCGAGCTTGGCAGAAAGTGCCTTTCCCCTCTGAACCGTGTCACTGGCCCCAAGTCCATGCCTTATACTTTAATTTTATTCTCTACTCCTATTACAGCCCCTGCTCTGCTGTTGTCCCCGCTCCCCACACATTGCGGCACTGGGGATCAAACGCACGCTCACTCACAGTAGGTGTGATCTGCTACTAAGCTGTATTCTCAAATTGCTTGTCTGTTCTCATTAAGCTGCCCAGGCTTGCTGACCTTGAACTAGAACTCATCCTGCCTCCGCCTCCCCAACAGCTAGGATTATAACCCTGCACCATCAGATCTGTCTCTGTATGAATTTTTAAAAATCGTATTTGTTGTTTTTCTTCTCATTAGTGTTTTTAAGAGGACATCCATTTTCTGGAATATGTCGTTTCTTTTTTGGGTTGACCTTGGACAGGTTACTTTGTTACTGTAAGATTCTTTTTTTTTTTTTTAATAGTCCTAGGAAATGGGCATTAAACTAGACCAGCCTACAATTGTCATTGTAAGGTTTGAGGGAGAGCACAGGATTCACTTAGCTCTATGGTTATAGAAAGTCCTTCAGAGGGCAAGGTGTCACTGTCTGTATCCCTGCGCTGCCCTTCCCCTCTGGATTCCACAGCCAGTATGAAGAACGCCTGGCTCACAGCAGGCTTGCTGGCTGGTTGGACAAGCCATGCACTGATCTCTACTGCCGTGTCTTTGCTGTTGATGAGTGCGTATGTGAAGAACGGATACCGCGAGAACCCAGTTACCATCCAGAAGGATGATCAGCTGAGAACCTACATACTAACAATCTGGAAAACAGACTGCTGATTCTATGGGTGTCTTAATATCTGGGTAAAGGTACTTCTCCTATGAGCCCATGTCAGCAGTGGTTATTTGTGTGACTTGGCCATCTCCAGCCCCTCTCCCGTCCTGGGAACATACCTGTGTTTGGGCTTCAGGCCAAACATTTCATGATTAAACCTTTGGTTCATCTGTCTTTCCAAATATCCATTTAATATCGTTGAACCACAGATCTTTGACAAATAGTAGGTAAGTCGAGACGAGATTAGCATATCGATCGGATATCCATGTTTCCCCACGCGTTTCAGGACCCAAGTGCCTCTCCTGGTACTGAGGAAGACCTGGGACATGGGAAACACCATTTTGAGCAGCTCTTCCAAAGCAGCTCCATGCTTTTGTATTCCCCTTACCCCACACAAAGCAAATAACTGTAAAAGTTAAGTTCCAACTGTGGCGATACACAGATTACTAGAAATGGGTTAAATTCAAATGTAAGAGTTAGCCAATATAGCCGGGCGGTGGTGGCACATGCCTTTAATCCCAGTACTTGGGAGGCAGAGGCAGGTGGATCTCTGTAGGTTCGAGACCAGCCTGGTCTACAAGAGCTAGTTTCATGACAGGCTCCAAAACCACAGAGAAACCCTGTCTCGGAAAAAAAAAAAAAAAAAGAAGCTAGTGCTAATGGGCCAAGCGGTGATTTAATTAATACAGTATCTGTGTGGTTATTTTGGGGCTAAGCAGCTGGGAACTAACTAGCGCCCTCCTTACTACACACATGTACACACAGACAGACAGATTGATATACACATGCGTGTGCGTGCGTGCACACACACAGTATAATAAAACGTCTTTAAAGAGCATTATGTCAAGCTTTCTTGATACAATGAAATTCCTAGGTTCATTTGAAAATTTTGATTTCTAGGTTTTATATATTCAGCATCAACCCTAAAGCTGCAACTTGGGCAGTGAACAAGCCCCGTGAGTTTGCTGCTGGCCTGGGTGGGCCATGTGTAGGTCTCTATGTTCATTCCTGGGTCTTCTTCCTTGGTGAGAGTGAAGCCAAAACCAATTATTGATGCATACCTGCTTGGCTGTGTGGCTGATCTCCACAGCCAGATCCCCTCCAGAATTCCCGATGCCAATCACAATGACTCTCTTCCCAGTGAATTCTATTGGGTTCTTATAGTCTCGGCTGTGAAAGTACTTTCCTTTGAACTTTTCAATTCCTACAAGGGAAAGGAAAATAATTATCGGGGGGGGGGGATGGTTTATATGAAGACATTATTTGCCAAATCCCGTGTTTTGCTTCTTTTGTGGTGCTTAAAGCTTAAACTTCGATTTCCCACATTCTCCCTTTATTGAGCAGCTCTCTCTCCTTTCTAAATATGTTTGCTCCTTTGCTTCTCTCGTTGCCTTTTGGACTTCCCCATCATAAATAATTTGCATTTTGAATTTGCAGACACAAATCCAGATAGGCTCAGAAAACCTCCACTATCCTCTCTCTTTGCATTGTTACATTTTTTTAAAAGAAGTATTTTTTAATTCTTTTTTAAAAGATTTATTTATTATTATGTATAAATGATTGATTGATTGATTGATTATGTATAAAGTGTTCTGCCTGCAGGCCAGAAGAGGGCATCAGATTTCATTACGGATGGTTGTGAGCCACCATGTGGTTGCTGGGAATTGAACTCAGAACCTCTGGAAGAGCAGCCAGTGCTCTTAGCCATTGAGCCATCTCTCCAGCCCTCACTCCCATGTTTTTATGTGTGTATAGGGCATATGTGGAATATATTTTTGAAGGTAAAAGTCCAGACCAGAAACACGAAATGAAATGCTTTAAGCTTTCACTTCATTTTTAGAAATTCATTATTTCTGGTTTTTTTTCTTCTTCAGTTGATGAAAAAATCTCTAATTCCAGCTAGCACTAATCAAGAACTCTAGATTTTCTTTAGGTCCTGAGGAAAACATTGTCACCATGAGTTTAAATACAGTCATGTGCTGTTTGGCAGGAACGTAACCATTCTAGAAACATGTTGAAACTAGATTTCATCACTGGACAGGCACTGTACACACCTAGGTGGCACACGTCAATAGAGAGCCACAATAAGCATAAGTGTGGGAGGCTGTGGCTGCCAAAATACGGCCTGTGACTCTATAGCACACTTTTTAAATACAAGAAGAATTACACCAAGGACAGTACAGTGAATGCAGAACAAGTAAGTTACTCGTTGTCCAGTGTTACATTTTGACAGGCCTACATGTTATAATTTTAAACAACTTGACAGCAGAATAGGTTGGCCTACACCACACCCTACCAACAGCACTTCGGGCTTCAGGTCACAGTGGCTAATCCCTAACAAAACCACAGAACTCTGCGACTCTGTTACAATATTATGGGACTACCATGGCATAGGTCATGGACAAACAATGACGTCTGTGGCTCATGATGAAACATAGACCTCTAGCCTTTCAAACTGTCACCGTGTCCACTTCCAAAATGGCAGCAATACACATTACCCTGACATCCTCAGGGGAATGTATTTAATTAGAGCAAGACCTTATTTTTAAGAGTGGCTCAGCTCATGCCCCTCCCACTCCTCCTCCGGGGTCAGATAACAGTCGTGGCGGCAGTGTCTTCCCTCTTGGTAGGTTACTCACCAGGAAAGCATTCCAAGGGTAGGTGAGCATCTGTGTGATGGCCTGTGCAAACCAGGACTCCATCGAAGACACCTTCCTGCTTTTTCCCTCCACATTCAGTGGTCACCATCCATTGGCCTGAAGTAGAGAAATCAGGTTGCTTCTTCACTTTGCACACTGTGGTCTAAAAAGGGACAGGGAACTGTAACCACCGCCTGTAGAGTCTATGTCTTCCCTGACACAACTCGCTGCAGAATGGCACAAAAGGGGCTGCCACAGGCACCATCACTTATAGGGCTTCCGTAGGGATATTTGATTCACGTACTTGGATAGAAACGGGGCAGGCTACAAAATTGGATAAGCAATCGAATGCTCCCAGAACACATACAGATTGCTAGGTGTCTTGGTCTGTGTCCTATTGCTCTGCAGGACCTGAATAAAACCGGAGGCTTACTCCAGGCATTAGTGACATGGGCACAAACGATCCGTTCCTCCTCCATCCCTTGATATTCCAGTCCTGTGTGCAGTGGCTGGCCTTGAACATATGACTCAGATACAGCTCTCCCTTTCTACCAGGAACAGAACATAACCCTGAAGGCCCTCAGTGTATGAAATTGAGTCTTTCTCTGCCTTCTACAGCTGTTCATTTCACAAGCGACTCTAAAGAGGCTGTGAGATGGGGTAACTGGCAGGATAATTTTTATTTATTTATTTTTTCGAGACAGGGTTTCTCTGTGGTTTTGGAGCCTGTCCTGGAACTAGCTCTTGTAGACCAGGCTGGTCTCGAACCCACAGAGATCCGCCTGCCTCTGCCTCCCAAGTGCTAGGATTAAAGGCGTGTGCCACCACTGCCCACTCAGGATAATTTTTAACTTTGTAGAATAAACAAACAAATCAGTAAGCAAATATGGGTTACTCTGCACAACGTAACAAGAATGGTGTGCATCTGGAGCCTCGGGCATGCTGTCTTAGCGGACTGAAAGAGATCCTACCAAGCCCTGCCATCTTGAACTACACAACGTTCTTTCTGTCACAAGCATTTACACAGGTCAGTGCTTCTGCTTGGATCACACTTCTCTCTGTCACGAGCATTTACACAGATCAGTGCTTCTGCTTGGATCACACCTTTGTTCCGTCTTCTCTTGGCAGATTCTTCTTCACCCCTGGAGACTCAGTCCAGATAGAATCTGTTCTGTGACAAACTTCCCTGCAGCCTGGTGCGTCATGTCCTGATGGGCAGCCGTGGGCAGCTCTCCTCAGCACGGGCCACTTTTGCTTTGCCTCTTCATTTTTAGCAATTCTATAGATCATACAAATTTTCTCTGCCTTGTTTTTTTTTTTGTCTCTGCATTTTTTTTTTTTTTACTGCTTGGTACAGTGGCAAGCTTATTCAAGATGCGTTTCTCTTAAACAAAGGACATCCATGGGCTGCAAATTTCTGGCTTTGGAAGTTGTTAAATGTTACTTTGGGTACGATTTAGCAGAATAGCAAGGAGACGGTTTGGGCTTTTGCCAGAAGTCATAAATATGTGTTATTTTATGGCTATGATTACAGATTAAAGAAACGTGACAGAAAACTTCACAGAAAGAAGGAACCAGGAACTATCTGGGGTAATCATATTATTTTATAGACAAGAAAATTTATAGAAATTGAAGATGAGAAACTCATTTGTCTAAGAAATTCATTTGCCTAGTTAATCTATGGTAGACCAAGGACCATAATTCAAGGTGTCTTTGGTAAGAATAGATACATGCCTATCTTGACAGATAATGATGTAGGTGGGTCTTCTATCTATTGGTTGTTTCGTTGGTTAATTAATAAAGAAAACTGCTTGGCCTGATAGGTCAGAACATAGGTGGGTTGCATAGACAGAACAGAATGCTGGAAAGAAAGGAAGTGAGCCAGTCACCATGATTCTCCCACCCGAGACAGATGCAGGTTAAGATCCTTCCTGGTAAGCCATACCTCGTGGTGCTACACAGATTACTAATTATGGGTTAAAGCAAGATGTGAGAATTAGGTAATAAGAGGCTGAAACTAATGGGCCACGCAGTGTTTAAAAGAATACAGTTTCCATGCAATTATTTCGGGTAAAGCTAGCCGGGTGGCGGGAAGTGGCTGCCACTCCTATTACAACAAGATAACACAGGCAAATGAAGCTTCGTGATTCATTGACCTGACAAATGATTTCAAGCAGGAAGCAAACAAAATCTCTTACCTTGAACTGGATATATTTTAGTAGGTCAAATTCTTTAGCATACATCCTGAAGTACTCGAGGACCTGGGAGTTGTGCATGTAGTTGGGGTAATGGTCTGGGATGGGGTAGTCACTGAAACACATCATTTCCTTAGAAGTGTTGATGACCACAGACTTGTAGATGCTGGCCCTTCCTTCTTCAGGGATTTCCTGTGGCGAATAAGACATTTTTATGGCAACTTGAGACTCAACCTCATCATTTGTAAGTAGCCAAGAGCATGGTAAAGTTATCTAAGTTATCTGAGTAAAACGGATTTTAACCAACACACACACACACACACACACACACACACACACACACACAGTGCCACATCTCCCAATATCTGTCTCCCTTGCAGTCATTTCTTTGCTCTTGAAACTGAATTGTTTTTATAACTTTCTTTTAGCCAGCAGCATACAGTTGACACAGCATTGAGTACCTTCCAAGACCAAATCATAAGCAATCTTGCAGTATCTGGTTGAGATGCTTTGAAAGCTCACTCTGGTGGGAGCCAAAACCCATAGAAGCAGTCCAGCTATCCTGAGACCACTGTATTGTTAGGAAGCACCAGAGGCCCATGGAGAGAATATCTGAAACTGAGAATTATCCAGCTAGCTCCAAGGAACCCCAGCTATCCCTACTATCCCTACTGAAGTTCTAACTGTGTAAAGAGTCTGTCTCCGCCGTCCTCTGATTACAACATGCAAGTCCCAAGTGAGAAGTACCAGGACACATTGCAGCACTGTCCAAAAACACCTAGAAATCCAGGTGTGAGGCTGCAGGTGGCTCAGCACTTGAGAGCACTGGCTGCTCTGGCAGAGGATCCAGGTTCACTTCCCAGCACTCACGTGGAAGCTCACAACCATCTCTAACTCCAGTTCCAAAAAACTTGATGTCCTGTTCTGGCCTCCGAACACACACATGCGGTGCAAAGACATCCATTCAGGCAAACCACCCATTCACATTAGAAACAAAACAAAAGTCAGGTGTGTTGGTGTGTGTTTATAATCCCAGCAGTGAAGAGGTGGGGATCTCTGGAGCTAGCTAGCCCAACCAGCAAACCAGCGTTCCCAGGGAGAAACACTGTCTCAAAAACAAACAAACAAACAAACAAACAAACAAACAGGAGGATGACTTCTACATGCATGCACAAACATGTGGATGTGCACACAAACATGCACAAAACATGCATGCATACACATATACACACACATACACAAAACCCTACAAATTTTAAATATATGTAAGAATATTGAAAGTGGCCTGCTATAATTTTCAGTGAAAAAGTAATAAGTACCATGTAATTAAATGTACATCCTAATCATTTATATTATATATATATACTTTTTATATAATTATTTGTTATATACTCTCTCCCTTGTTTAAGTTGAGTACAATGTATTAATTATATATAATTTATGCATATAATTTTAATAAAGAAAATAGTTTAAAAGGTAGAATTTTTCTTTTGTATTTATTAAAATATTTATAAAACACTTATGATAAAGTAAAAAGACTCAGCAGACTAGTATAGAAAGACACTTCCTCAAGTCAATAAAAACAATTTAAAGCATGCAAGCTGGTAATAGTATGCTTAACAGTGAGAGACTAAGTGATTTAAGCTTTAAAAAATAATTTAACTTTCTTTTGTGTGCACTGATGTGAAGGCATTAGATCCCTTGGAATTAGAGTTACAGACAGCGATAAGCTACCATGTGGGTGCTGGGAACTGAACCCAAGTCCTCTGGAAGCATAGCCAGTGCCCCTAACTGCTGGGTCATCTCTCCAAGTGTGTTAATTTGATTAAGAACAAGGATGTCCTTTCTTGCCATAGGCAAGCACTGTACTGGAAGCCCTATAAGTCATGAAAGAGGAAACGAAAACTAACTTTGTGACCAGTTATGTATGCATTTATGTAAAAACAAAATCCCAAAGACTAAAAAAATAAAACTGCAACTATTGGATTACAGGCAGGTCATACAAAACAAGGTCAGCGACAAGTCACTGCAGCCTAGGGGACAGCTCAGTTTCAGTGCTTATCTTGCAAGCATGGAGACCTAAATCAAATTCCTGGAACCTACATGGAAAAATGCCAGGTGTGGTGCCAGGTGCTTGCCATTGCAACAGCGAGAGGTGGAAGCAGGTAGTTCCCCAGGGCTTGCTTTCTTAGCAAGCGCAAGGCCAGTGGGAGAAAGAGACCATCTCTCATAAAAGATGGACCATGCCCGAGGAACAAAGCTTGAGGTTGCACACATGTGAACCTGCATATGTGCATACTTGTACATGCATGCGTGCACACACACACACACACACACACACACACACACACACACAGCCAGTTACATGACCAGGCGTGGTAGTTCAGACTTGTAAGCTCAGTACTTGGAAGATGAGCCGAAGAATCCTGGCTACAGAGAAAGACCCTCAAAAATAAACAAGTAAGTATGCAAGAAATGAGCAATTGGAATTCAGGCCATCCGCCTATTAAATACTTAGGCATAGATCTAACGAAAGATGTATAGGGCAATATGAGTAAACTATGAAACAGAGAAAAAGACCGATCAAAGACTGAAATAAATGAAAGCTTTTGTCTTCGGGGATTGGAAGAATTAATACTGCTAAGATGCCTGCTCCCCCTGCCTTCCCCTGAAGACACAGCATGGTCCTGGCAGCAGCACAGCAACCAGGGTATAACTTTCAGCAAACGGATTCTGAAGACTCCTGGAAGCAGCCAACAGTCCTGAGTGTGGCTGGCCATAGTAACTTTCTTCTGAAGGCAGAAACGGGGGTGAACTTTGCAGCGGTCAAGCCTGACACACTCCACTGCAAGCTTGGACACAAAGGTTAACACAAACAGTGCAAAGTCAAAACAAGAATGATCACACTGAAAACAGGACTTCACCTTGAAGCTCGTCCTTTCCAAACGGAAGAACCTCAGGCCAGCTATGAGAAAAATATCAGACTCATTCTAAGGAGGAGATTCTACAAAATACCCGACCAATCCTCCTCAAATCTGCCGAGGAGATCAAAACCAAGGAAGCAAAACTTACGAATTAAGAAAGCCTAAGAAATCATCATAGCCAAGAGGAGCCTGGAGAGACATGACTATCAAATATTACAGGGGTCCTGGAATAGAAACAAAACAAACAAACAAAACAACAACAAAACCAAACGAACGAAACCAGCAGCAGAAAGAACTAAGTAGATCTAAGTGCAGCATGGGCTTATGGGTACTGACCCCGCCAATCATGAAAAATTAGGGTAAGATTCTAACAATAGGGGAACTAGACAAGATCCCAAGTGGTCACAGATGTAAGCCACGATGCCTTCAGAAAACTTATAAAATTAGTATCAGAAAATATTAATCTATAACACAAAGGAGGCAATACTAGTTTTGAAGGCTAAACAGAAAAAGAACAGAGATAGCAAAAGGCACATCTGAAAGTATATTTGCGTGATAGGTGAAACAAAGAGGAAGAGGAAAGTAGGACCAGTGGCATCTGAGAATGAAAGAAAATATCCAAACCCCAAGGACTCGTCACTGAAAAGGGAACTCTGGTGTTCTTAACAGGGTACTTGCTGCCAATGGGAGAGCCCGAAGTGCTGGGATCGCGTCTGTATGGGACATCCACAATTAGCTGATTAACTAATTAAAGCTGATGTGTGGAGAGAAGGACAAGTCTCCAAATAATAAGCATGGGAGTGGCGATAGATGGCAATAAATAAATTCTCAGGGAATCACTATAATGATTACTAGCCACGTGAAATGTCTAGTAAAACATCAGTGTCCAATGTCTCAGCTTCCACAACTGTGTGATGGACAAGTGGGAGGATGAGTGCTCCCAGCTCCTGGAGCATCCCGAGCAGACCCCAGGTCAGTATGCTCCTCAGGGACTCAGTTAGTTAGTTTCGTTCTTGAGACAGGATCTTACTATGTATCTCTCTGACTGTCCTGGATCTTCCTATACAATACCAGGCTGGCCTTGAACTCACAGAGATCTGCCCGCCTCTGCCTCCTGAGTGCTTGGATCAAAGGCATGGGCCACTGTATTTTAAATGGCCCAGCTAGAATTTAAATTCTTATTTAGTAGTTTGTTTATCTATCTATATCATTTCAGAAATCTGCCTGCCTCTGCCGCTGCCTCCTGAGTGCTGGGATGAAGGCTGTGGGCCATTAAGCCTGGCGCAGGCACTGATTTAAACCTAAGTCTATTGGGAGGCTAATGCATGCCAGGTGCCCTGAGCGGCTCTAGAATTCTGAGCCTTGAAGACACGGCTGTTTTGACAGAAGCCAGGGCATTATGACCAAACCTAGCTGGCTGATGCTCATAAGGGAGTGAAATTCTGCCAAGAGGACAATCAGAAAATACATGCTATCAGATCTTTAGAAGATAATGATTTCAAGCCACTTTAGCAACCTAAATCACAAACCTGACATTCTGGCAGGATGTTGGATACTCTCCCAGCTTCCTCTGCTCTTGTGTTGGTTTCATGCTTGCCTAGGAATTGCTAAACCTGGCCCTGAAGCTTAGCAAGAGGTATTAAGTATGCAGGTCCAAGTCTAGGCCTACTGAATAATATCTGGCACGCTGCCCTGTGCATCCAGCACTGTCAGAAGCCACCAATTACTCATTAACTTCCTGTTCACAATAACTTTATACAGTAAGCACTACATAAGATCTTTCTTGCAGGAAGAGCGGACACAGAGAAGGTAAGTGATTTTTCCCAAACTCACACTCTTTCTAGATGCTAGACAATGGCTTTGAAGCTAAAATTGTGGCCTCAAGCTTTTCAGCCCTTGCCCGAGGCTGATAGAGGAATGGGGGGGTCTCCTAAGGGGACCCGTTCTTCCTCTGAATAAGGACGAACACCCAACAGAGTGGACGTCTCTCTGCCCAGGGCCGTGATGCAGGGCTGTACTTCCGTTCAACTGTGCGGTGCCATGCAGCTTCTTCTAAGGAGGTGGCTGGCACTGCTGGACTTGATGAAAAACGAAACATCCTCCTGGCACTTCAACACCATTCCGAAAGTGAGTTCAAGATGCAAGCTCAGCGCTTGCCAGTTTGAAAATCAGTGAAGGTGGCCGATATTCATTTAATAAAACAGCTCTCATTCCAGCAGAACGTGCTTTCTTTGGTTCTGTTTGATTGAGACAGATCTACAAAGCCCTGCGCTGTGTAGACCAGGCTGACCTCCAGCTCAAAGGAATTGGCCTGCCTCTGCCTCCCTAGTGCTGGGATCAAAGACATCCAGCAATGTGCCCAGCTACTATTTTCAACACATCCTAATGACTTGCCCAGTTGTAAAAGCATAGGGTTCAGATGAAACCCAGTGGACTAAAGGAGAGAGAAGGGAGCAAAGGCCAAGGAATTTGACCTTCTCTTCTCAAGGGAAGGGCAGGTTTAAAGTAAACAGGGCAATCTTGTTTGGGTTTTGTTTTTGTTTTTATTCTCTGTATAGCCCTGGCTGTCCTGAGCAATCTTATTTTTATATTCTGTTCAAGGACTAGGATTGTCAGGGTTACGTCAAGTGAGAAGGAAATGTGTGTGTTGTGTGTGTATGTGTTGTGTGTGTGTTTGTGTGATGCACCCGCACACACTACATGTAAAGGCCAAAGATCAGTGTTCGGTTTTCTTCTTAATTGCTTCCTGCCTTATGGTATTTGAGACTGGGCATTTTACTGAGCCTGGAGCCTGGCTCATTGGGTAGCCCCTAAATCTCACGAATCCTATCTTGGTGCCCCTGTGGTTGGGATGACAAGGGCATGCTGCTTGTCTTCCTTTTCTTTCCTCTCCTCTCCTTTCCCTTTCTTTTTTATTTCTTCCCTTCCTTCCTTCTTTCCTCCCTTCCTTTCCACATGAGTGCTGGGATGAAACTCAAGTCTTCTAGCAGAAAACCTTTAACATTTTCTAGAAAAGCCATCTCCCCAGCCTCAGGATTAAAAAAAATATGATTTCTTTTTATTTTATATGCATGAGTGCTTTGCTTGTCTGCATGTTTGGGTACTATGTTCACACCTGATGTCTGAGGAGGTCAGAAGAGGGTGTCAGGTCCTCTCAAGCTGGACTTCCGAGCTTGTAAACTGTCATAGGGTTCAGAGCAAGCACTCTTACCTGCTTCTCCATCTCTCCAGCCCCATCCCAGGGATAGCTTTTAATAGAAAGGAAGGCAGAAAGAATCTCAAGCAGACACTCGGCTGGTCATCTCCTCTCATGTACCAGGAACAAGCAGGCAACTTCTAATATTTGCTGCTTCTCCACTTCACAGATTTCTTTTTTCGGATTTTGAATAGCAGGGAAGTTCAGAAACATACAAGCAAACAAAACCATTTTCATGGCAACAGAAAAAGGAAAGTAACTGACATTTGTGTTTCATTTTGCAACCAGCCTAGAGAAAGGAACAAGCCTAAAATCTGAGGTGACAGTTGCCAGGGCAGAATTCCGTCACCTTCTTCCTTATTCCGTGTACGGGATTATACACAGGAGTCCCACAGGAGTCCGGAGGGACTCAGGAGATTTACCTGGAACCTCCAAAGTCCTCCGATGTCATCAGACCTTTCAAAGCAGACAGGTTCCAAGCCTTCTTCCAGACAGCACTTGATGCAGGTGAGCCCACTTGCTCCTGATCCAATTACAGCGATCCTTTTCTTGGTCATGGTGAAGCTGGGTCAGCGTCACTTGTCCTAGATAAAGAATGGGAAGAGAGACAGTGAACACACATCAAGCCACATGGAAGACCTGGGCCATGGCACACAAATAAATGTAACGAGACGTGAGTCTGAGGACCGACCTAGTGGGTCCTCGAGGGGAAGTGCCGGCTCAGGGCGCTGCTCAGCAAGCACTGGGCTTCGCTCTCCCGAGAGGGGCAAGGTCTCTGCTAAATACAGCAGTGGCCAGTGGGGAGGGGCTGTACCGCCCCACCTCCTATCCCGCCCACCCGAGGGCGTGCACCCTTCTTCTATAAAGGAAAACAGCTCAGTAAGTTTTGGGAAGAAATGAAAACAGTAATACAGTAACATTGTATACGTTTTACTCTCCAGCTTTTCAGCTGCATCCACACAGGGAGAACGGCCCTCCAGCTCCATCCCTTCCCACTTTTCTTTCTGTGCCTGCTTTCAACTTCCTGCTTTTATTTTAAAGTGATAAAGACCCGCTAAACTTCAGAAGCTAAGCTTGCTCCAAATACTGACGAGAAGAAAATTCCCTTTCTAGAGTGCCTTTCAACAGGTGCTTTATCCTGGCTCCTTCTCCTCTCCCCACTTCAGAGACCAGTTGATACTAGAGTAAGAATTTAAGATCGCTGTGTGCGGAGCTGACGCCTGGGGGCGGGGCGAGGGAGCGGGAGGGAGGCGGGGCAGTGACAAGTGTTTTGCGCTTCCTAAGTAAAGAGGCTTCCAGGTCAGCCGCAGAGATCGAAGCACACACACACACACACACACACACACACACACACACACACACACACACAATTTCACTTAAATGCATATGTTTTCCTTTTAACGTGATTTTTTTCTAAGAATTCCCACAAGTCATGTATGAAGCCCTGAACCATGATCCGCCTTGTATAACACTACTCCATGTGTTGACTTTGCTCAAAAACGGTTTGGTGCGAGCCAATGTCTGTCCTTGGTTCTGATTTACTGGTCTTTCCCTTCCAGACCAATGGTAACAGTTTTTGAGGATTCGCCAGCCATGGTTCAAATGGCTTATAGAAAAGCAATCACGTAGTCAGCTCGGCCAACCCAGGAGGCAGGGACTACTATGATAATCTCCAGTGTGCAGTGGGAAAAGAGGCGAAGTAACCTGATGGAGGCGACCCAGAGAAAGGAAGGGAGGGAGGGAGGCTGGCAACGCAACCCCCCACCCCCGCAGACTGGCTCAAGCCTGGGCTCTCAGCCTCCACACGCTGCCTGCAGATATTTTCACTTCTTATTTAGCAACTTGCCCTTCGGCCATTTCTTCACTTCTTTGATGTCCGTTTTCGCCTAACACCTGCCGGTCCACATTTGTAAATCAGTTAAATCGCTTTTTGTAACTTGACCATCACGTGGTTTATTTCAACTGCTTTAAAATGAATTCAAAAAATAAGTCATTGACTCGGAGAGTCATTTTGCTGCCCCAGGAAGCCTCCTGCCAAGTATGTGAACTAAATTATAAACATAGCAAACACGCGTGGGGGAATCCACAAGACTGCACCACGACACAGGAGGATAGAGCCTCCAAGCCTGCTGGGCAGAACTGACCATGGTCAAGGTAGGTGTCGCCCCTCACTGAATCCTCTCTGGGAATGCTCTCACAGACACACCTAAGGTTGTGCCACCAATCCCATAGGTGATTCTAAAGCCAGTCAAGCTGACAATGAAGACTAACCAAAATGAGTGTGTTCAGACTTTCTGCAGAGGTCAAAACAATAGTGAATTTTTGAAAAATAATTTAGGGGTATGAATGTTTTGACTATATGTATATCTGTACAGCATGTGCCTAGTGCCCACAGATGCCAGAAGACTATGCCTTATCTCCTGGAGTAGAAGTTACAGATGGCTGTGAGCTGCTGTTTGGTTGCAGGGAACTGAACCCAGGTCTTCTGTCAGGGCAGAAAGTGTTCTTAACTTCTGAGTAATCTCTCTAGCTCCCATTATATGCTCATATTTTTTCCTAATTCTTTTTGCCAGGTGGGCATTTTGCTTGCATTCATTCAATAGATATTCCTCTTTGGAGGCCACTTCTCTTAAGGTGGTAGCTGTATGTAGTGGAATGCATTTGAGTCTTGACTGAGCCGCTTGAGTCAGTTGCTTCACGCTGGCGGATTGGGATAGGATCTGACTTAATATTGGGAAACTTGTTTGTTAGGGTAGTAAAGCTGCCAACAGTCACAAGGTCAGAAGTCACGTGTACATAGCGCAATACCTAATCCATGCCTGCTGTAGGTACTTGGTTCCGCAGAGAAGGTGGAGGGACACAGGGAGACACATCACGGACACTGTGGCAAGCGAAAGCATGGCCCTCAGAGGTCCACATCCCAGCTCCCCACAACCCCAGTGTTACTTCTAAGACAAAAAGAACCTCACAGTTGTGAGAAGGCTAAATGCTTGAGGTGTGGAGATTATTCTGATCAATCGAAGTGGTTCCCTTACAAGGACAAGGATGCTTTTTAGAAGGACAATGGGAGATGTTGGCAATAGAACCAGAAGACCATGGGAACAATGGAAGCAGGATGCTGTAGTGGTTTATTATTTGTATCTTGATAAATAAATCTTGCCTGAAGACCTGAGGCAAGGCTAAAGCCACTAGAGGTAAGGCAGTGGTGACGTACACCTTTAATCCCAATTCCAGGATTTGGGAGACAAGAGTCAGTTGGATCTCTGTGAGTTCAAGACTGCCCTGGGCTATGCAAGATCAAATCAGAAACAAATCCAGGTGTTGGAGGCTCACACCTTTAATTGCAGTACTAGGGAGTCACACGCCTTTAATCCCAGCACTAGAGAGAATATAAAACAGGAGGAGAGAGAGGTTTAGTCTGTTCAGTCTGCGGTTGCCTAGCCTTGGTAGAGGTCAAACTTCTCTAGTGGCTTGGCTGCTTTGCTTTTCTGGTTTTTGGGTTAAACCCCAATTTCTATCTCTGGTTTTTAATTATTTGTGCTACAGGATGCTCTGCTACTAGCTTTGTAGAGATAGGAAAGTTGTAGGAACCAAAGCAATGCAAAAGCCGGAACAAACCAGGGAACGCACCAGTCCTGCAGCTGCTGACAAAGAAGCGAGTCCCCAAGATGCTGACCGAGGCAGTAGTATGGTTTAAGTTTGAGAGAACAGTAAGACGATCACTGTATATGCTCCTAAAATTAAAGAGATAAACCCAAAGTAAACGTAACAGGATCAATAAAGAGGCAGAGGGGCTGGAGGGAAAGCTCAAAGGTTAAGAGCACGTGCTGCTCTTGGCCTCTTCTGGCCTCCACTGATGTGTGCATGTGATGCGCATACACACACGCAGGCGAAACATTCATGCACATAAAAATTAAATAAATTAAAAAAAAGAGGCAGAATATAAAAGTGACAGTTTTGCATGGTCCGGAGAATGATTTACGAAAGTGATACTTTTTGTTTTTGGATGAGTGAATATGTCAAGTCCAAAGTAAACCAAAGTCAAAGAACACATCATGACAGGTGGATAAATAGAAAAACACCATCAAAGTGATTGCTCAAAATAGCTAACAGAAATCGACTGGCAAAGACCCACTGAGACAGCCAGCTGGAGCTGCCAACTAAGAGTTCACAGCGTTCCATGTGAGCCTTCCAGCGGAACACACGGCACCGTAGAGGCAACATTATTAAGCTGGGTGCTCGCACCATCTAAAATAAACCAACTGGGGAAACTGGGGCAGTTAGCTGGAGCTTTTGATTGAAGTTTTTTTTTTTTTTTCTAATGGATGAGTTTTCTTCAGTTGAACTTTTCATTTTATTTAAATATATTTTTATATTACGAGATGAACAATAATAATCTTTATTGGAAATGGTTTTTACTTTTTCATGTTGTACGGTATGCATAGTTGCCTGTGAGGGGGTGAATGCGGAGTGGGAGAGGTTGGTCAATTTGCCTCTCCTGATTAATGCCAGAGGAACTGGAGTGGGACAGCAGGGGACTTGGTTGTAATTAGCACGACAAGGCTCGTTTTTATTACTTCAGCTCCTTAGTTTACAGTTCGGCAGAGAAGCCTGCTTCACGGCCCAGCATGGTCAAGGTAATATAAAGCACAACGAAGTTATTTGTCTTCAAAGAAATGTGTGAGCTACGAGAACACCATTGACCCTAGATACTCTCCAGAAATTGAAGAAGGCCACAGGCATTCCTGCGTTCCTTCCCATATGTCGAGGACATTCCAAATTCCTTTCTTGAGAAATAGAAACATCAGTATATCCTCACATAATTCAAATCCTAACAGTGGAGGCCTGAGGCTGATGCTGGGAAGCACCTTGTTCTCTCTCTACCTCAGGTAAGCCAGGGTTTGCTGGTGTGGCTAGTGTTGCTAGCCAGCTTGCTCTGGGCATCCCATCTCTGCCTTCTGTGAATGGAATGACAGGAGGCAGACCATCATGGCCACATGGGATTTACATGGTTTCCAGTCCTCAGATTTGTTTTGGCAAGGACTTAACCACTAAGCCATCTCCCCAGCACCTTTAAACTGTTTTCAAGTTGCGATGTCTTTATTTTGGAGCTGGGGTTTTTGTTGTTGTTATTACTGTTTTGTTATAGAGTTGGGGGGAATTTTGATGCTGAGAAAATGTTCAAGCCTTTTATTTTTCTAACATTATTTGGTAGCTGGGCGGTGGTGGCACACGCCTTTAATCCCAGCACTTGGGAGGCAGAGGCAGGCGTATCTCTGTGAGTTCGAGGCCAGCCTGGTCTAGTTCCAGCTAGTTCCAGGACAGGAACCAAAAGCTACAGAGAAACCCTGTCTCAAAAAAAAAAAAAAAAAAAAAAACATTACTTGGTAATATCAAGTTAGCCTCATCAAAATTCCAGCTGGATTTTTTCTTAAGATTTATTTATTTATTATGTATACAACATTCTGCCTCCGTGTATGCCCACATGTCAGAGGAGGGCGCCAGATCTCACTACAGATGGTTGTGAGCCACCATGTGGTTGCTGGGAATTGAACTCAGGACCTCTGGAAGAGCAGCCAGTGCTCTTAACCTCTGAGCCACCTCTCCAGCCCCAGCTGGATTTTTTTTAAACATACCTTGATGATTTATCAAATTTGTACTGAAGATTTGAGAAAAAACTGTATTCATTTTTTAAAAGAAAAAAAAACTGAAAAAAGAAATTCTCAAAACAAACCACACCATTATAATGGTTGAAGTGGTGTGCCACTGGGGAGAAAGTCAG